GATTGTCTTTAATGTGCTTCTTCCTGGCCCTGCTGTACAGTCTACACTTTCTTTGGTTATCAGAATTTTGCTGTATTAGATTTTAATCACAGTGGAGTGAAAGCTCCCTCTGGGACTGGATCAGGAAATGCCACCGGTGTGAAATTCAGCCAAGTCAAACACAGAGCCGCACTCTGTGGAGGCCCGGTGAATAAAGGAGCAGCTTTTTCCTGCTTTTTAATGACAGCGTGCGGTTCTGACACAGACATAAACAGTGAACTTGTCGAGTGAATCCTCTCTCAAACATGTGGAAACTGCAGTTGGCTGCAGGGCGTGTTACACAGAGAACTCCCTCTCTGCATTCCTGCCATTGTCTGGCAGAGCTGCAGTCATGCTGTGTGTGTGTGTGTGTGTGTTTCTTCTACTCATCTGATGGGCGTGTGCACCAGTTAGACCAGAACACAGCCGGTTCTCGGCTAAACCAACAGCAGTAATAACTGCTGTGACAGAGGCTTGTAGTAAAGTATGCTCCTCCCATTTGCTTCAGGTGGGTGGAGTCAGGAGGCTGTGAAAGGTGAGTACTTTCTGGAAATTTCCAGCAGTTTAGTTTAGGGTGTCTAAGGGGAGCCCGTCAGGTGACCGGGGCTGATGCTGTCGATGAGAAAGGATTTCTGTTCTGAAGCTGAATGTTGGGCCCAGATGTGATGAACACCTGCAGCTTTGTTAGGTCTGCAGGGCCACCTTACGAGGGCCAGTATACTTGCTGTAACACACCTCGTTATCTTTGGCTCACAAAACAGTTTTCAGTGCCATAACTGCCAAAAATGCTCCTTATTCAGTACAGTATTTGTCACGTGTGGTTTGTTCGTACTTTTTTAATATTTAGATGTAAATAGTGAAAAATGAAGTAAAAAGAAGAAGGAAAAGAGATTGAAGTGACTCAAGTGGCCGTGACTAAGAGTTTAGAGCTTTAGAGAAAGCTCTGGAAACATCACAGCTCACAGCTGGATGAACATTTGATTCGAAGTCGAGGTTTGTGAGCCGATCGGCCAGCATGTGAAAATAAATCTTTCCCGCTCACCCCGTGGCCTTGGAGCCCAGCTCACAGCTACAGCGTTTCATCGCGTGAAGAAAAAAAGAGTTTTTGAGGAAGCCGCGTCCGACTTTTAGCGCTGCTTCTCTGTGTTTTGTGTTGTTGGCAACAGTGACTGCAGTGAGTCAGACGCTCTAAAAAGATCGAAGGCTTTGGTTTGAGTCATTCTGTGAGGCTGTGACTCACTCTGTGTTTTCAGGAGACTTCCTGTGTGGAGAACTCATACGCTGTGTGTGTCTGTGTGTGTGTGTGTGTGTGTGTCTCCAGGACATGGAGGTGAGCCCCAATGAACTGATGAACATCTTGAATAAAGTGGTCTGCAAACGTGAGTCCGGTTTCCTTCTTATTGTTATTTTCTAGTTTCAGTGTTTTGTGTGTTTGCAGTAAATTTGTATTTTAACTAAGCTGAACTGAAGTTGTGGGTCTGTCGTTCAGATGGGAAGCTGAAGACCGACGGCTTCAGCAGTGAGTCCTGCAGGAGTATGGTTGCTGTGATGGACGTATCCTTCCACAAAACATAGTGCAGACTGAACACAGTAATCTCAGTGGTTGCAGAATTAGTAGCAGCAGATCAGAAAATCAAGCGTCACGGTTCTCTGTGAGTTCTGCTTGTGTTGCTGAGTTTGACCTTTGACCTGGCTCCCATCAGAGTGACAGCACAGGAAAACTGGGCTTCCACGAGTTCAAGTACCTCTGGAATAACATCAAGAAATGGCAGGTGGGTTGACGGGGAGCAGCCGTGCAGA